CGGCAGGTCACAGCCACCCACAACAACCTGGCCCCCGAGCCCGACGGCAGCGCGGGGCTGCTGCAGGTGGCCCTGCAGGGCACCCCACACCGGGCTGCGGGCACGGTGCAGGGCAGCACCCCGGTGCTGCGGGAGCTCAACGGAGCCACCTTCAAGCAGCCCGTGCCGCTCTCCGGCTCCGTGCTCATCTACAGAGCCAAAGCGCAGGAGCCCAGCGCGCTGCCCGCGCTCACCGGTGAGCACCTCGTGCCACCCTGCGCCTGGTGGCTTCATGCGGGGTGGTGGTGGGGAGGAGACCATGGTGAAGGGGGACATGTTGCATGTTAGACTGGGATGGGGTGGCTGCAACATGGCATTAAGGGGCTCCAGAGCAAAGGATGTGTCATGGGGGGAAAAACTGGCACCACAGACCATGGGTCACCTGGGTGACCACAACCCCCTTGCCTCTCGGCCAGGGCTGCTGGGGAAGGCGGGCGTGCAGCTGCAGTCCTACCACAGCTCCAGCGCGGCGGCGGGCGAGCAGTGGAGCGTCGCGGGGCTCTCGGCGCCGCTGCCCGACCTCGGCGAGCTCAAGCCGCGCGTCACCGAGGCCCTGCAGCTGCAGCTGTAGCTGCCGGGCGCCCGCTCCGCTCCGCGCCCTCCAAGGGAGCGTCACCCCCCCGGCCGCCCCCGGCGCCCGCGCTGCGCCCACGCCGGCCCCGTGCTCAATAAAGAGCCTGGAGGAGATAACGTGCGCCCTCCTTCCCTCACCCGCGGCCCCCAGCCCGGCGGGGGCACACGGGGCTGCTGGCGCCGCGTGACTGTTTGCTCAAGGGGTGCAAAGGTCTCTGCCCAGCCGCGGTCCCGCATGGACGGAGGGACAGCCACAGTCCCGTGGGTGCTCCCTGCTCTGGATATCGGCTCAGCCCGCTGCCCCCATAGGGGCAGGACCACACTGAACCCCCTCCTGAGAGATTTAAATGATGGAGAAGCCAGGGAAGACCCCAGGAGGGCTGGGACCTCCCTGCTCCTGGGAACAGGCTCCCTGGCTATTCCCGTGGGAATGGGATCCCTGGGGTTCCCAAGGAGGCTGCTTCAATTTGCAGGTCCCGCAGGGGACCTGGCGTTCTGCCAGCTCCCCACCCCAAACTGGGGCTCGGCTCGGACCTCCCCATGCGCAGGGGCCACTGCGGCACTGCGGGTAGAGCGGGAGGTGCCGTCTGCCCCGGCACGTGTCCCATGCTCCCGCCGGGAGAGGGTCTCCGGGGGGAACGGCGAGGGGCCAGGCAGCAGTGCCGCCTGCTCCCGAAGCCACAGGCTGCCACACTCGCCCAGCTCATCCGGCTCTTTATTCCTGTGTGCTGCCCGCGGCTTCCCAGGAAACGTGGTCACCACCAGCCTCGTGGCCGGGAACACTGCAGGCTGTCTGCAGTCCCTGCAAGGGGGAGTCTCCCATGAAGCCAGCCCCGGATTTTGGGCAGCAGGGAGCTGGGGGAAGGAGCCGGGGGCAGGACGCGCTCCGGCGCGCCCCGGGACTCACGGCGGCCGCGCCGCTAGAGCGGCTTCCTGGCGTAGAGCCGGCGGTACTTGTCGTCCACGCGTGTCAGGTACCACGTGCCGGGGAAGAGGTCCTCGGCGGAGCCGTGGGGAGTGTGGTTGGCTGCGGGGAGAGCGCGGGGGGCTCAGCGCGCCGGCGGGCGCAGGGGGTCGCGCGGCGCCCGCCGCCCCTCACCCAGGTGGTGGGTCTCCTCCCGCTGCTTCATGATGTCGGCGAAGTCCTGCGGGGCGACGCGCTTGCGGGCGTCCAGGCGGGCCGGCAGGTCGGCCAGGCTGGCCACGAGCCGGGCC